CCATATCTCGAAAGAGTTGTAAAGAATCCATTGCTAGTTGCTCTATAATACAGTATTCAGTATTCAGTATTATTACCTGATTGATGTGTTACCTGGAGTAACCGCGGTTCACCTTAGTGTACGGAGTGTGGGTGACGGATGAGACACATCATTCTGACTGGTTTAGCTTGAACCCCTATTATTTGACACAGGAAGTCCTACTGTTTTTTGTCGTCTGGTATCTTATCTTTTATGGAGTTCGCCTCGAATTCAGTCACATTAGAGCATATAACATTTGGAGAATTATGGTAGTGTTTCATGTTCTCCTTTTTGGAGGGACCAGTGGCTGCTTTCTTCTGTTGGACAAGTGATGGGGTCTTGAGTCTCGTGGTGTTATTGGCAGTAGTAGCTTGTTTGGCCGCGGGCAGTGTTGTAACGACAAGTGCCTCCGTCATATGGTTAACAACTACGGACGCGTATTTTGTCGGCCCTTTAAAAGTTTTTAGTGTTGCAGGTGATTCTGTTGAAGAATGTGTGACGAACGTATATTTTTGCACAGCCGCTAGTGTCAGGGTGACTATCTCTAAAACATTACTTTTACACTTCTGAATTGGAGCTTGTTGTTGAGCATCGATTTTGAGGCACTAATTTGTCTGGTTCATATGGAGCAGATTTCACGGCTGCTGCTTTCTCTACATTATTTGCCTGTCTATCACCCTTTTGTTCCAACGCAGTTAAATAGCTTGCGAGTGGAAAATATGTACACTCCTTGCAGAACCAGAGAGAATCAGTCGCATTATGAATCTTTTTATCTGGCTCAGAATAAGGCGAGCACATCGAGAATGAGAGTATTTTCGACAGTTTCTGCATTCTATTCTAAATCGTTCAAGTTTTACACAGCTGTCTACGAAACAACTAACATTTATTTCGGAAGCTTTGGGCTTAGCTTTTTGTGGGAAACCAGTAAGTGCCATTGTGCCTGTCAGATCTGCGGAAGACTTTCGCTGCGACTTTTGCACTGGTATGCTGAATCTAAACGCCGCCTTACGGACACCTGTTCGATTGATGTAGAACAAATCCAAGATGGCGGACACAGATGGCATTTGGGCCAAACCGTGAGGTCTCCGACAGTAACCGGAGAATATCCACCCAATTCGCACAGATGAAAAATGCAACAAAAGCAAAGTTTTGGTTCAAATTTCACACATAGCAATCACGTATAATACATTATTTCCAAAGCAAAATTAGAATCCAGCACGGTAAAGCAAACGTCCGTGGGTACAACAGTGTCCCATCAGTAATAGATGAGGCGACAACCGTGCTTCAAATTTTTACATTTCCAGACGGAAATGTTTGAATGTTACCTAGGAGCAAGTCAATTAAAATTTACATACAAAAATTGCAATTACTTTATTAAAAACCAATGCATACGCAAAACTCGGCAAAACGTTGCAGCAGGTCTGATGGTGTTACATTTACTATAATAACAATGGCACTGCTGAATGCATGATCTTGGAATGGTAGATTGTGATTTTACCAATCAACCCGCAGTAGGTACCATACGTTCTTTGACGATCTCAGTTTCCTATCAGGTAACCGAAAGTTTCTGGAAAGCAAATTGTGCAGATCCTTCCGATCTATGAGCGGCCATCAAATACCTACTTGTAGCGCAAGTTTTATACATAAAATGCAGAGAGCAAACGACTGTTCCTTGTGAAATCTATCTGAAGGATTATTATGTCGCCGCTAAATGCTGCTTGTTCTCGACTAGTAAATAATGATTTCTACAGGAGCTTAGACAGAATTTTGAAGGACGTTATTCCAGTCAGCAATTTTGTCATTCAGCAACTAAGCAATGGCTGAACAGCCTTTCTGCGTATTAGAGACCAGCCTTTTGCCATAATTCTAAATTCACAAGAGATTCCAATTCACAACTCTTTACATACTGAACATAATTTGTACTATCTAAACGTTTGTAGCAATGTCATGCCACCTGAACAAACTCCGTGTGAGACATATGGTGTACACCACTCACTGTGATGTACGTTGTTTCTCAGTACATACTTACTTGCCTGATTTTGTTTCTGTAAGAGCCCCAGTGACAATTTGCAGTGGATTAACATCAGAGACAGACAACCTCGACATGGTCGACAATGCTATTAATGCACGCAGCTACTGAAGTCAGTAAGAAAAAAATTATCATATATCAACCATCCGTTAGAAGCAGTACCATCGAAAATTCCAATGCAGGAACAGCAATAATTTGTACATTTTTTGAATTTCGGCTTGTTCGTCACTCCTAGGTTAAAAATCTAGCCCTGTACTCGTAATTCCCCATATGTGGTTTAGAGACAAATAATTTGTAAGAGACATAAATGTCAAATAGTTTCCCTTAAAGTAATATTACAAATTTGCCTGCATTCAAAAGTTCCTTTTAAGTACTATTTGGCATATTTATTTGACCCTCAGAAAATATCGATGATAAATTTCACAAGGAAATTCCATCCAAACTTTTACTTTCAAAATTTACTCATTAAAACGCGACGAACTCACACACTCTTCCTACGTAACTATTGCATTTTACCGCCTAGTATTGCTCTCTCAAACCAACCATAATACACAGTTGCGCTGGTAACTTTGCTGTATGGATTAAACTGAATGTTGCTTCCATGTAGATGTTGGGATAAACAAGCATTACCTACACTGTCAAGTGTATTAGAAGCTGCTGCCCTACCATCTGGAACACTTCAATGTATTAATGACCACACAGATAGCTCTATCAAAGATAAGCACAAAAACCAAATCAAAGTGCTCCTTTTAGCTACTGAGCCAATCAAAGAACTTAAGTATCACAATACCGATAATATTTCTTCTGCTTCTTAGCACATAATTACTACGGTTGTGTACAACGACTCCATGGAAATGTGTAGAACGAGGAATATTTCCCCCTAGATTTTCAACTAATTTTGGCTTTTAACCTAGAATAGATTTCTCATATTGTTATGGTACCATTTGTGCGTCATCTAATTTGCTGCAAAGCGGTCATAATTTGAACATTGTATGGTGTCGTTCATTGGCGTACCAAAAAAGGACCCGATCTGAATCCCACCACAATCCCAGTTAATATATCAATGTTTATTTCCCCTTCTCAACATCAGCAGTTATGTGCAGTCTGCTGTCCCCTGCTGAGCTAGAACGCGCTACTCAGTTGTTACCACACCGTGGTTGGTACCACTGAACGCTAGCGGAATTCAAACATGGACAAAATATATTTCCAAACATGACATAATAAACCTCGATGATTACTGACCCACTTCCTCCTGCATTGTAGAGGAAAGGGTATCGCACTTGTTAAGTGACATTCCAATCATTATTCACTCTTTAGATTACGACAATAGATTTTACATACTTGGTATTGACTTGGGTTTTCGGGGTGGTGCAGATTAAATTCATCATGGTGAGAATCAAATATCTAAACTGCTCTCAATGTTAGTGTGCTTTAGATGCCTGCTAATACGTCACCATACCGTCTCCACTATGGATACTTGCGTAATAGTAATGAAAAATGCTCATGGAGCTCATCATCCTGCGAATAGAATATGTTGGGTTTAATAATTACCGCCAACATATATGCACATTTATTTGTAATAAATGTGCATATATGTTGGCGGTAAAGTTTAAAAAGTAAAGTGGTAAAGTTTAAAAATGAACAGTAGGTTACGCGTAGACATGCCTTTATTTAGCCGGAAAAAATAAATCGCTGCTAGATTATTTTGATTACTGCATCGTATAAAACACGACATAAATGATCTAGCTACACAGAGATGCAATTCGTGTCCGTTTGACTTACGTGCATGTGGTGTTTGTTATTTATTCAAAACTGTACATTTTCACTAGGTATAAATCTCAGAGATGTACCTCAAGCTTTTCTGGGAGTGTATGCATTCATTACCATTAGGCCAACGAAAATCATATCCTATTAATTCGGATCAAATATTGGCCAATTGTTACGGCTGCAATCAAGTTATCGGCAAAATTAAAGTTGGCTCTGTTAATTTTACTGTTTGCAATAGAACAAGCACGGGAGGCACGGCATTATTGTATGTAAAACCAGAGTTAAGCTAACATAACAGGAAAAATGAAGTAATCGGTGCCTATCGAGTGGCTTAACTAATGTACGCAGCAAGTAGCCAGTTACACATTGCACTTAAAAAGCAAGGCAGCAATTAAAATGTCATTTTGTCCAGTAATATAATTATTATCTTACTTAAATATAACGTGTCGATTTTATAGATACTCTTCACCATTTTTACCACGTCAATCTCCGCTGGTTTACTTTGCTTGATGTAGAATTCATGTCAAAAGTCCAATCTTTTGTACCAGATATGCCAACCAGTGTTTTTAATGATATGCTGAATTAATATTTTGCGATTGATTCCAAATATATTTCAGGAGGTGGAATTTTAAATTATAGTTAGCTAGTAAAAATACATTTTATAAGCAAAGTACACTACACTAAAATGCTGCAGTAAAATACATATTACTGGCAAAATCCCAAAAGCTACAGGGTATCTGAACAACTAATAAAGGACAATATTGGAGGGTCAAGTTTGAACTACACGTTGCGTGATTGGATTGCGACGCGCAATCCCAATGTTAGGGACCGTGATTCACATTGAAGTAAACCTCAGTCACTGTGATCACTGGGACCGTACTCAATGCAAATGGAAACTGGATTGCAATAAAAATTAACACCAACAACTTCACGATGCTTTTACCCAAAATACTGTAAGCAATATACTTTAATGGCCAGTGATGATTTGTGTATATGGTCATAGTCTCCCTGGTTTTCTTCTGTTTTGAAGCTTCTTAGGATTATGCGCAACAGGACGAGATTTAGCCGATACGAAATGGTGTTAGCAAACATGAGATTGTTTGGAATTGAAAAAGTTTCCACACCGGAATGGATATCCCAAACTGGGACCGAATTAAATGCTGTGTAAATTGCATATGTGAATCAGATGACCGATATGCCGCTGGCAGTGAAATCACAGTCAGCCGTTTCTGATTCACCTGATGGTAAAGAGGGTTACAATCCTGAGTTCCTCTGATTTTCGCATTGATATTTGGCTAATTTGAAGAAATGCATTTCGGGTATGTCGGTGGAGAAGGTCTATGCAATACGAAGCCCGATTATGCACACCGAGAAAGCTTCTAAAATATTTGATGACTTTCTTGGCGCTTTGGCTATCAGGTCTGTATACTGGTACTAAATTCACCACAAAACTGCTAATTATATCCACATCACAGAACAGGCATATTTAGCTGTCGCATGCCAAAGCAGATAAGTAGTGGTTCGTTTCTACTTAATCCCCTGTGAAGCGTCATTCATGTAGGATTTATGTCGTCTGAATAGCTTGTGTGAATTCCTAGTCTGCCCTGCAGGAAAGCACCACGAAGTTACGAGAACGAGCTGATTGTAAGAGTGATGATTGTAAAAGCGGTTAACAATACTTGATTCAAAAATGATTTTTGTGCCGAAAATGTTCCCACCCACCTACGTTGCCTACTTCAAAAATGGGATATGCTTTCATAAACTGTCGTGTTTTTGAGATATAGGAGGCACAAGAAGCGCCACAGGCTAATATACTTGTGATTAAATGTAACAAATCATTAAAGTTTCCCATTTCTAGATATGTGCGTTGCTCCTGACGCAGCCGTTTGAACGATCATGATGTATTCTATTGCATTATGTAGCCACATTGCAGCGAAACAAAGAAAAAGTATCACTCCGTAAAACTAAGTACAACTTGGAGACCAGCTAGCGTCATTGGTTCCTCATAGTGTATATATACTGAATGATTCGAATGTCAGCAACCCTTGTAAAGAATGGTTTTGGTTTTTTTTGGAGACCGCTGACAAGCGATCAAGGTTATTATTTCTTTATTTTTAATGCAAATGGCTCTAATAAATAAAAGCACGTAATAAAAATATTATTCAGGAAACAGCTGGACTACCCTTGCCAAATAGTGCAGAATTTCTTATCCCTTCTGTTCCTTCAATGCCTAAACTTTTACTTTTCGAACTCTGGGAATATGATCTATTCTGTCTTACAAGTGATAATGCTAGCATTGAATAAGAAGGAATTTCTCAACATCTGGATAATTTTCAAAGAGGAGCTGAACTACAACATATGAGACTACCATTGTATATCAAACAGCTGAAATATTAACATTTAGGCACACGTAAAATGCTGGCGGAGAACAGGAAATAAGGTATCGGGCTATCGCAAAAGAGAAGTGGCAATATATCCGTTCTTCATTGAACCAGTCCACTGGAGTAACAGTGTTGGAATTCTGGTAGTTGGATTCCCAATATATCACACAAGGAGAAGTGTGAAGTGCGTTTTATTTCATAGCTGCAACCCATACGCACCAGTGTTTATTGAGCACAGTTTAATATTAAGAAGTTTTTCGGAATCCCAAAATCTTTTAGGTAAATTATGTAAACATTTCAATAGGATTCTTTTTCTGCATGTAAAGATTTTGAACGTCTTGGTTGGACAGCAAAGGCAAATTACGACGTAGATTTGGTGTAATTGCTTATGGGATCGTAGTGTTTAACATCAATGGAAGAAAGGGACTTGGCAAACCGGTAAAACATGAATGTAGACGTAGCGAATATCATCAAGAAGCTTTTGCTTGACAACGATAACGTTAACCTCTCACCACTTCACACATTAAGTGGGTGGCGAAGCAATTTGTTAACGCACTGGACTATAATAGCACATGTTTTAAGTAAATTTTTGGATCAACTTTTGTGCTGAGTATGGAGAAACTGAAAGTTAACATCTTGTCAAGCAATCACCAAATCAATTTTACCGCGCGTGGGAATATTATTAAGGCATCTGCTAGAGGTAACATTTTTTCCTTTGTCCGGAAGCAATGGAAAAACAAGAAGCGTGAAACTACGTAAATTTGGAGAATACGAATGTTAATTTTAGGGATGACCTTGTATCTAAAGCATAGATTTAAATTTCTTCCTTAATGCCCAGTTGCACCTGGCATAAATTATTTACCTTTGTTGTAACCAACGGACACTGATGTCCCAGCAGGTGAAAGTCTGAGTGCTGAAGACCAGTGGAAAAACAAACGAAATCACGAAAAGACGTTGGGTGTTTAACTTCTGTAAGTCAACAGTTAGCCAAACCACCTGAGGCTGGTATTCTACTTCGCCCTGCAAAGTCAACCTCGTCCGACCAGAGGCGTTATAACCTCGTGATCTTCCACGCACCGGAGTCCAGTGATCCATCACCCCAAGTGCGCTACGATCACGATGTCGAGTTTTTACAGGGTCTAATTGATAGACTCTTCGACGCTGGTGAGGACTCGGTAAAAGAGAGGTAAATTCCCTATCTTGGAAAGCAAGGTGATCAACGAAATCGGCATATGAGAATCACTTTTATGGACGAAGCCAGTCCAAGCTTGATCACGTTCCATCTAAGTTGGCTGAAAGGTTTGAAGATCCATGTTCGTCCAGACCTGGACTCAGTAGACAGGGAGCGGCTCAAGTCTGCCATCATTGAGTTGGAAAGATGCACTTGTGAGGGGGAAACAAATCTTCGTGTCGTAAACTTTTTCAATGGTTTTCCAACCATCTGCGAATCATTATAAACACACAGCTCACACTTCAAGCACGCCTGGCGGCTCCTGCTGCGGCCTGCGAATAGCCTTTACAAAAGATTGCAGTGTTATGAATAAACGCGATGATCTTTGTTGTTTCGTTGCGTCTGAGCAGCCAGACGTAGTAGGACTCGCAGAGACATGGCTGCATGCAGTGTTATACAACCAAGAACTTGAACTCAACGGTTACTCGTGCTTCCGATGCGATAGACTAAAGAATGCCCACGGTGGTGTCTTACTTTACGTCCGGTCTTCCCTGCGTGGGAGACTTGTGAGCACCTACTGAAGTGGCGATAGTTTGAGTGACCTAATTTGGTGCACCATCTGCCTCAGGCGCGGAGAACTGCTTGTGGGCGCAGTTTATTGCAGCCCCCTGAATCGTGGTTTGGATTGGCTGCCCCATCTTCGGACCCACATGAGTCGTCCACACTTTCTACTTATGGGCGATTTTTACTGTCCTCGAATACGATGGCCTGATGTGCATTTGATGCCTTGACATAGTGAGTTCGAAGCAAAGTTCGTGGATTTGGTACTTGAAACTGGTGCATCGCAAAAATATGTCAGCCAACACGCGTACCAACACGTTCAAACACGTCCTGTCTCGACCTGAGGTTAACGTGCTACGAACAACGAGTGCATGACGTTAGGATCCTGGAGCCCCTGGCTAGGAGCAACTATTCAGTGCTCATAGCTGATATGTAATTATCTTTGCTGTATTCACATCCGCTGGAACCAGCTCCCAACTACTGGAAAACGGCTTCGATGGTCTAGCTCGAACCGTGAGCCAACTTGATTGGTCTCTGCCACAAGCTGCATCTGTGGAAGATTGCTATATATGTATAAAAGAGAGATTGACATTATTGTGTTTTCAATTTGTGCCATTGAAATGTCGGAAGGTTGGACCGATTAAGCCTCATTGGTTTGAAAGGGGTATAGAAACCTGGCTAGGAGGCGGCGCAGACTGTGGGACAAATTCCTCCTCTCTGGCTCTGCCAGTGATTATGAAGGAGACAAATGCCAGTGGAACATCTTCAACAGTGCCAAAAAGAATAAACGCCGACGTTTCGAAGGGCAGCTCGCAGTAACCGCGAAGACCGCCCCAAAGGGAATCATTGCCTACGTGAATCGACTCCTGAAGCCGGCGGGTGATGTGCCAGTGCTGGATGGCACGGATGGACAGCCCCTAAATTCCAGCACTGAGCGTGCGTCCGCGTTGGCGGCGCACTTCGCTTCTGTATTTGCGAATAACCAGGAGTCTGTTCCGAGTTCTAATTGTACCGCTTTTACCGAACTAGATAATCTGCATTGCGGCGTTGAAGAGCTCGGTCAACTAATCGCCATCCTTGACGGCGCCAAACTTGCCGGACCTGATTTGCTTCATCCACTGGTTCTCAAGTCACTTTCGACCATCCTCTCTCCTGTCATGACTGGCCTTTTCAACAGGTCGCTCTCCGAAGGTTCGTTGCCGCTTGACTGGAAATGTGCGGTGGTAAAGCTTATTCCGAAAGGCGGCGCCCCTAGCAAAGTAGACAATTACAGGCCAATTTGTCTGACACCTATATTGGCAAAGGTTGCTGAGAAAATCGTGCAGAAGAGATTGCTGCAGTTGCTACAGTCAAACGAGGTCCTGACCCCGCACAGCACGGTTTTATGCAAGGTCGCTCATGCATTACAAACCTGCTTGTGACGAGGCATGAGTGGTTGAAGGCCATAAACAAGGAGAAATCCGTCGACGTGATATTCATCGATTTCAGTAAAGCCTTCGACAAGGTCAGTCATGAGGTTCTCCTTCACGAACGCTTCTTTCACAGTCTGCGCATCAAACAGCAACTGTGCAACGGTTAGGAAGAACGCAGGTTCGACACAGCTCTGGCATGTGCTTTCCAAATATAGTCGCCTAAACTACAACAACAACCGAATCGGATTAGTACTGAACGCTTAGGTGCAGCAGTAATTTGCGAAGAATGCAACTCAATTATTTCATGCCAACCTAAGGAGATGTAGTGCATATATCAGTTTGCCAAATTTGCATAAGTCTGTTCAGTTTATGGGGTTTAATCAGGCTTTCTTCGGATCGAATTTGAATGATCAAATGAGGGTATAGTTTGGAGAAACACTTAGAGTACTTTCTCTTAATTTCTTTAAGTCGAACACGTGTTACCCATCTTGTGGCCTATTGTTCCTGCAGTTCAATACTACCTACAAATTCCTGACTGATGTCACCTATTCCCATCTATTAGCTGAGATATTCTGAAATTTACTCATATTTTGCTTCAGCTTGTATGGGCAAAAACCGAAGCGGTGGGATGTGGTGTGACGGATTGCAAAGGCAGGCCAGGCTTCCCATACGGCAAATATATCGTATGTAATTACGGTCCGGGGTGAGTGCTCATATCTACGGCCTCTTAGGGCATTGTTTACCTACGAACCATGCTAACATTTAAACTTCTGCATTCACAGGGGAAATTTTAACAATGAACATCCATACGAGGCTGGTACTTGCATTGGCCATTAAATTGGGAGTAAGTTGCTGAGAGTTATGTGCAAAGCTCACCAATTTATGCATCCACATTATTTGTCATCAATGTAAATGGGATGATTGAGACTTGGAGTTTATAAATAAAAGGCAGCGGGGATCGTTGCGCTCTGATACAACTGGTAGCCATTAGGCTTGTAGTGCAGCGGATTATAATCCCAGGTGCCTGTTTTAACTAACGAGAGTGTGCCAAAACAACGGATTGCCGATTTTGTACACGGTTGCCAGTTTCGCTCTATCATCTATGCTTAAAAAATTCTATTGCGATAAATCCTGGAACGTAAACGTTGTCAGGGATTAGAAAAGCTATTCCGGGAAATTACAGGAGGGCAACTGTGGAAGAAAGATAGCTTGAAAAAAGAAACCAGTGAAAGGCATTCGAGCTGAATATATTCGCTTAACATTTGCAGCCTACTTGCTGAGTAGTTGTGCAACAATTCATCCCCATATTTGTATTTCAGCTCACCTACTCAAAAGTGGACTTCTCGTGTCTAACAACAGTACTTAACCGACGCATGTGTATTTGTGTTCGTCTAATTTGACAACTATACACTCTATATGCACACGCTGTTTTCTGTTCACTTGCACACTAAGATGGTTGAAAACACCGTCCTGTATTGTATATAGTGTGACCACTTATGGTTGGAGGTACAAGGCAACCCAAGTGACGAGTAGTTTAGTAAGAATTCCAGAGGTATTTGAAAGGACTGAATGTTCAGTTGCAGAAAATATTCTACACAATCTATCGGCCACCTTCGAAATTAGTCACATATACCGATAGCAGTTCGTTTCCAGATGCTTCTGTATCTATTCTTTATTATCGTCTGCCACATCGAAATGAGCCTAGATCTTACCTGGTACGATGGCATGCCTGCTTCAGAGATCCATTAAGCTATGTTGGATGGTGCTTTTTTCCACCTTCAGAGCCACTTATACCTGTTTGCTCAATAGTTAGAGAACATACAACCGCAGCCTCTTGTTCCTCCAGTTTGTGCTTTGGAATGAGGGTAGCTCCTTATTCCTTAAAACGGACTCCTTGAAGCCCACTGCTGAATCCGCTTCCTTGCAATCAGTCTTTTCAACGAAAGTCTTTGGTTGAGAATCCTAATCGTTCTCTTGTCTAGGCCATGTCAATTTAACAGTAGCCCGCTCAAACAATACAATAAATTTCTCTTCATACAATTTCCTGATGCTTTGGTCTTCGCAGAGGATGATAAATGGTGCCATTTCTTTTGCATCGAGCAGGGTGGATACGGGTTTGGATGCTACTGCTCAAGCCTTCCCGTCTTCTTTTTCACCCACTTACGCCTTTTCACCCTTATGGTCCCCCTCCAACTTTACTTTTATCCCCCCAGTTCTTAACCCCACAATAATGGGCCCTTTCCCACCATGTCTTACTAGACGTTTATCTTCTATTTTTAACTCCCATGCAAAAGTGGTGTGCCACTCCTGTCCTGTCGACAAACCCATGTCCAACCAAGCGGTCCACTTCAGTTCATCGACTTCTATTTGGAGCCCTCGATCCTCCTTCAGATTGGCCAGCCTCCATGTACACACGTTGCTGCAGCTCAATCAACAGGCTGCTATCGCTCGAACTATAGAAACACTCCCCATATCGATATCTGCTGCTTGTCGGAGACCCGCCTTAAAGAATCGAGCACTGTGCTCACTCGGTGATCCGCTTCAGGTGATATCAGCGGTATTTTCTCATTTCGCCTATCCGGTGACGATGCAGCATTGATCACCGGCCAAGGTGGTGTTAGCATTGGCCTGAGTCCCCGAACTGAGGCTACTCTGGTAGGTTGGATCCTAATCAGTAGCCGGATGTGTGCGATGCCAATGGCCGGCTCTTTCAAAGCTTTGAAGTGGCGCAGGACTCAAAGGTGTCTATTCATCATCGGTGCCTACCCGCCCACAAACTCTAGGGGTGATTCGATACGAAACGATTTCTACTGCCAACTGACCGAGATCCTTCGCCACAGCAGAAGCACGGGCACTTTTGAGCTGGCGGGGGATATGAACGCACAAATTGGAAAGATGTCCACTGATGAAATGCATTTGGGAGTTCAACACTGTGTAGGCTCTTGTAATGATAACGGTAAGCGGGTAATTCATTTGTGTGAAGACACTCGCTTATTTCTTGCCAGCATTAATTTCCGACTCAACACCCGCCTGAGGGTGACATAGCGCCCACCAGTCTCGAACTAGCCTTGGACACAACTTAATCACATTGCCATCAGTCACCTCTGAATAGACTGCTTCCGGAACTGTCGCTCGATTCGGGACACATGTGTTTACAGCTACTATGCATTTGGATGTGCTGACATGCGGATGCCATTTGGCGGACACCCACGGCGACGCTGTGAGCGCATTGACACCAGCCAACTGGCGAAACCAGCAGTTCTGCATGCGTATCCATACACGCTGACATGCGGGTTAAGTGCACACTGGTGACAATCGAAGGTCACTGGTCGCATGTTCAACAGACCTTACTAGCGGCAGATAAATCCTCATCTGGTAAGTCTAATCGCCAATCTGGACATTGGGTCTCTTTGCAGTCTCTGGAACTTATCGATGCTTGACGGCATATTCCGGCTGGAAGCGAACACAGTGGAACGCGCCAAAAGCTCTGCGGAATACTCCGCACTACCTTGAATAGAGGCCGCGAATCCTGGCGGTCTCTTCGTGCGTCAGAGATGGAAGTGGTCGCTGCCCTTGGTAACCATTGGAAGTTATTCCGTCTGATACGGGAAAGGGGTAGCTGGAGGCCTGGTGTTAGTGAAATGATTTATGACAAGAGGGAACAGCTTATCCGCAACTTGTCAAAACGCTTAATGCCTTGGTCTGAGCAGTTAGAAAAGCAAGTTAATCGGTCGGAATTCATCGATTCCTCATCGACCAGTGATCGCGCTGCTCCTTGGTTTGTTCATTTGGGTTCGCCCTCTCGCTTAGAAGTCAAACGTGCGATCGGAATAATAAAGTTGAAAAAATATTCGGGCCCAAATTATCTTCATCCAGCGCTCTTCAAATTCGGGGACTGCTCTTGCTGATGATTTTCATGATTTACTATTTACACTATGGGAGCAGGAAACTGTCCAAACCAACTGGATCAGCTCCGCTATTTTCCTGGTATTTATGGGAAGCCCACATTTGGAATGTAGCACCTGTAGAACAATCAGTCTGCACCCCATTGTCTCCATATTACTTGCCTCCGTAATCCATCACAGACTGACTGGTGCTTTTGAAAATCCAGGTTTTTGTGAGGGGCCAGCCGGGTTTGGTCCTGGTCGTGGCTGCATTGACCACATCTTCACTTTACATCAGTTGATGGAGCGTTGTCACACATATTGGCGGCCCAACGTTGTCGTGTTCCTCGACATCAAAGGTTTCTTCGATACGTTTGATAGAAGAGCGCTCTGGAACTGTTTCCTCAGGAGGGGTGTGTTCGAGATATAAGTAAATATTGTCCGAAGATTATATACGCGTAGCGCGGGCGGAATGAGGGCTTACGGCAAGCTTGCGCCGCCCTACAATATATTCAGCTGTGTGAGACAAGCATGCCCGCTGTCACCTTTACTCTTCAACTTCACTATTGACAAAGTCATGGAGATTGCATTTATAGGACAAGACTTAGAAATTGTGGAGCTACTTCCAGGGGAAAGACTTCTTGAGTTGGAGTATGCAGACGATATTGCTTTCATCTGTGACAGCTTCCATGTATGCCAAGTTGCACTGGACTTATTAGCACTGGCTGTTCGTCACTTTGTGCTTTGCTTCGCACCATCGAAGTGCAGAGCAAAGCTACAAGATTGGCAGGGATCGCTTTTTGCGCTGACCGTTGGTGGGGTCCAGCTAGAAGTCCTTCGGAAAATTAACTACCGGGGAAGTTCAATCATCACCCGTATTATTGAAGATAAGATCACGAACCGTATGAAAAAAGCTCAGGGTAATTTTGGTAATGTTCCCTAACTTTGGCGGAGGCACGACATCACTCTCGCCCTGAAGGGTAGTGTACCCATTACGATTTGCTAACTGCAGTTTCAGTTTGCATCAAAACGCAGTGACCTGCTTTAGTTTTCGGTTTGGTCGTCACTGGACAATGGAATGCAGTCCACATGTAGATACTTTCTGGAATACAGCAAGGCATTCGCTTGTTTAAACCCCGACTGTCTACCGAAAGACCTACTCGTTTCTGGACTATGTCATCCATGTTTCTCAGCTTGAAGGATTGTCTAGCCGATCCTACTCAGATTACCAGGCTTGGAGGCAGAAACACTTTGTCCGTACTCACTGGCACCCGTTTTATCATGTAACTATTCTACACCGTTTCTAACTCACACTTACGAGTGCTCCATATCAAGCTTTTGCGGGTCGACCCTATTTTATAATGTGTTCGATTTTGGCCTCGGCATCAATCCCTTGATAACAACAGTTTCCGTCAACGTACCCGATATTCCGAATGATTTCGCGATTTGATGCAACAACAAGTAGCTACCATGTAGTGTTTCAAGTGCAACAATGCCATTTATTCACTAGACAGGGCAGATCGGTATCAACAGCTTCTTAATCATTTTCCGAAAATTCACCTTGATGGCACGTGGTTGCAGCAATACACCTAAGCGAGATCGCTCCCACCTAACGAGTTTATAAGTCTTGTCGACGAATATAAAATTTGTTTTAATCACTTAACTGTATGTGAAGGAAAACTTCACAAAACGCGAGGTGTTGCTATCCTACTCCTATAGGCTGCAAGTTTCATCTGTCCTTACTGATTCGCTTCCTCCGTTGGTCATTTAGACGTGGTTCCTTGTAAGCTGCCCGGCAAAGCTCAAACCAGCCACTCAGTACTGGTCACAGAAACTTAATTTGCAACAAAATTCATGTGTGACAGCGCATCATGACCATATTCCATTTTATATAGAGAGTCAAGATAACGCGTCTTAATCCTTAGGTAATGTTCTCAAAAAGGTAATGTTCTCAACTAACAACCGGGCCGCTTTTTGAGATTGGTCAAAGATTTCGTGGTGAATGCACCGAGCACTCTAATAGGATTTTCCCTGTGGCGACATTACGTGCCTAATGTTAGCCCCTTCAGCCCTGCCCTTACAATACTAAATAAGATAACTTAGACGCTGGCTACAGATACCGACTCGATTCTTCATAAAGTAAGCAAACTTTTACAAATTTCTAATATTTACCTCGATTGCCGTCAAACCGTTCAAGTTCGACCTTCGGAGGTTTTACTACGGATTTAAGAAGTTGACAGAAACTGCTCCACAAATGGCCTTTGTGCCTCTTCGTCATCAATTCCTATTGACAATATTCTAGGAATCCATTCTTTCGCTTGCATTTAGAAGCAGACAATCACCCAAAGCTTTCTGCTTCTTCCACTAACTCTAGTCACAGTTTTGCCATTGCGAATCCGGTTTCTCCCTACACTTTTGTGCTCTGTTAACCTAATAGCTGCTAGAGACTTACCCGGAAACCTAATAGATTTTCTTACCATGCTATCATTTGATACAATAAAGCAAGTTGCATTAAC